TCTGGTAAATGTGTGTACCCTATAGCAAAATTTTAAAATAATAAAGTTGAATAAATAAACTTTCTTTTAGAGGTTTTGGGTTTAGGGCACGTGCACTCTCCAGAAAGAGACAGAGAAAAAGTGAGAAATCACCCCCCCCAGGGGGGATGGTCACGCCGCAATCCCTTCTGTTCCATTCTCCTCTCGGGATCTTGGGCACGCATGCACACAAGCCTGGCATGCGTTTAAGCCACCAGGTCTGGGACTTGAACCTCATTCGACTACATGGGAGTCCAGTGACATAGCTATTACGTTAACTGCTGGTCCCAAATGACCATTTTTTAAGAAGTTTATTTTGGGGACCTGGCAGGTGGCATGGTGGTTAAAGGCACTAGACTCCTGTGTGGCTGACAACTGTTCAAGTCCCAGACCAGGTGCCTTCCTTTCTCATGCTCCCTCTCTTTTTCTCTGTTTCTCTCTCTCTCTCTCTGATCAAATTGGAAAATAATAGTATTAATAATAATAAAGTTAAATAATAAAATATTTTTTTTAAGTTTATTTTGGTGCCAAAAAAATTTGGGGGGGAGGCTAGGCTGAGCCACATGAGAACGTTCTGAGTTCTTGTAGAGAGACTAGGATGGATCTTGGCATTAGGACCCTATTAGGGGTACTTTCTGTGTCTTTCCTGTTCGTGGGGACAATAAGTTTTTTTGTTTTTTTTTTCTTAAAGGTTCTGCTACAGGATGTGTGGGCTCAACAGAGAAAGAGAGCGAGAGAGAGAAAGTGAGAAATCACCCCCAGGGGGCATGACCATGCTGCAGTCCCTTCACCGTTCTTCTCTTGGGACTTTGGGAATGAATGCGTGTGTGCCCTGTGTATCTTCCACGCCACCCACTGAGGGACTTGAACTGTGCAGTCGGCTGTGTGGGATCCAGCCACTTTAACTACCTGGCTAGCCTGGAAGTAAACTTAATTTTTAAATTTTTAAAAATTTAAAAAATTTCTCACTGGAGAAAAAGAAGGAGAAAGCGAGAAAGCAGGGGAGATGGCCACGTTGTAATCCCTCTCCTCCATTCTTTTCTCAGGATTTTGGACACACACACACACACACCCAGCATGTTTTGCGAGCCACTGGGTCTGGGACTAGAACCGCTCACCTTGCCACGTGGGATCCAGGTAACTTAACCACCAGCCACCAGCTGGCCCCTTAATTTTTTTTTAGACATATGCATAGTCTTTTCATAATATTCATTTAAGTTTTTTTCTTTTTATTCACGATGGAGTACCCTCCGCTGTGTCTGGTCACTCCAGTCATCCGGCCCATGGGAGCTTGAGCACTCAGGCAGGTGCCCCAGCGTGTCCCAGGCTGACGGGCTGGGGACTGGAATGGTGGTCTCCACGTGGGACTGGGCCCTCTCAGCAGTGCGTGACCCTGCACGTTGGAGACAGCACCAACAACAGGCATTTTCCACGAGCTTTTCGAAGACCGCGTCTCTGTGCGCACGTTTGCGTGTGTGGTTTCGTACCAGATCCTCCTCTCTCCGCAGAAAGTCGCACACAGCTGGGGACCTCCAGATTGCTAAGTGATGAAAGCCAGCCGTGCACATGAAGATGGTGGCTGCTGACCGTCACAGCCCTCCTGGGTCCTCAGTGGAAACAAGGAAAAGGGGCAAGCCAGGTCGCTCTGTTCTTACCGGAGGGACACTCAGGGCAGCTGTGAGGGCGGGGGGTAGCCGGCGGTGTGGAAAGTCTGCAGGGCCTGGGTCTCCAGGTGGGGAAGACGGCTGAGGACAGGTCTGGCATGGAGGCCGACCCAGCCGGGAACCAGAGGGCGGATGGGAGTGTCCAGCTCGTCTCCTGACACCCCTGAGAGTGGTGGGGACAGCGGGAAAGGAATGGAAGCCGTGTCTGAGTCCAGAGGCTCCAGGTGGCCCGCCTTGTGCCCTCAGGCTTCCGGACCCAGAGCCGGAGAGTGGGGAGACCGGCCAGCCCACGGCCACAGCAGGAGGTCCTCACCTTGCAAAAAGGCAGGGAACAAGTGCTGGGTTCGAGAACCCAGGCCCGACTGTCAGCATAACCAATGTGTGTCCCCATCCCCGAGACTGTCACCATATCCCTGAAGGCCTGGAGGAGCAGGTCCAGGCTCCCTGCTGAGGCATGCGAGGGAAGGGCTGGAGTCTCGGGGTCAAAGCCCAGCGCATTTCTACTGCCCTCGCTCCTAGGACAGGGCACTCCTGTGAGCCAGGCGGGCAGCGGAAGCAGCCCCAGCTTACCAGTGCGGAGGCCGAGGTGCTGAGCAAGGTGATCCCTTCTCCAGGGTCTCGGCCTGGGGTGGCAGGCAGGCCTCCTTCCTGACTTCATGCGGGGAGCGCTCCAGGGCTGCCTCCTGGGCAGGTCTCTCCCTGGGCTGAGGCTTCCGCTCTCAGGACGGGATCCCCACGTGCGGCCCGGGGCCACTGCAGCTCTGCCCAGGCTCTCCGTGCAGCTAGCTGCCAGCTCAGGAAGGGGAGGGTTAGTGTGGGGCTCAGGACACCGTGCGACCCTGCTCCGGTTTTCCGAGTCCCCTTCTCCAGGCTGCAGTGAGTGCCTGGACTCGTGTCTCCATTCTCCTCCACACACACACATGCACACACACCTGGCGCGACTTCCAAGCTACCAAGGCTCAAACTGTGCTAGTCTATGTGGGAATCCAGCACCTGAACCACCGCACCACCTGCTGGGCCCACTTTCTTTTTTTTTTTTTTTTTTAAGTGATTTTTGCTGTAGGGCATGGGCACTCATCCTAGAGACAAAGAGAAACAGACAGAAAGCGAGAATCACCCCCTAAGGGGAATGGCCATGCCACAGTCCCTTCTCCTCCATTCTCCTCTTGGGATCTTGGGCACGCACACACATGCACCCAGCATGAGTTCTAAGCCACCGGGTCCGGGACTCGAACCTTGATCAACTCTGTGGGAGTTCAGAGATGTAACCATTATACCATCTGCTGGTCCCAGCTAGCCCCACTTTTTTAAAAAAAGGTTCTGCTTGAAGGCATGCGCGATTCCTCGAGAGAGACAGAAAGTGAGAAACACCCCCCTGGACGGTCATGCCACAATCCCTTCTCCTCCATTTCTCCCTCCTTTTGGGAATTTTGGCATACAGGCACATGTACTAAGTACTTTTTTTGTTTTTGTTTTTAAGAATTATTTTATTTAACTTTATTTATTTAAATTTGACCAGAGAGACACAGAGTGAGAGAGACAAAGAGGGAAAG